TCGATAGGTTGACCAAGTCGGCACACTTTCTTCCGATGGTGACTACTTATTCTTCGGAGAGGTTGGCCCAGATTTACATTGAGGAGATTGTTCGGTTGCATGGTGTGCCTGTTTCCATCATTTCAGATAGAGGCCCTCAGTTCACTTTGTATTTCTGGAGAGCAGTATAGAGCGAGTTGGGTAACCGAGTAGAGCTCAGCATGGCCTTTCGTCCGTAGATCGATGGGCAGTCAGAGCGGACAATTCAGATTCTAGAGGACATGCTCAGGGGATGTATTATTGAAATCGGATGACAGTGGGATAGATTTTTGCCCTTGACCGAGTTCGCTTATAACAACAATAATCAGTCCAATATCGAGATGGCTCCATTTGAGGCTTTATATGGTTGGTGATGTCATTCGCCCATCGGATGGTTTGACTAGGCAAGGTTATATGGCACGAATTTAGTGAAGGATGCATTAGAGAAGGTAAAGTTGATTCAAGAGTGACTTCGAATAGCACAGTCCAGACAGAAGAGTTACGCGGATCAGAAGATGTGTGATTTATCATTTATGGTGGGCGAGAAGGTTCTTTTGAAATTCTCGCCGATGAAGGGCATCATGAGGTTCGGAAAGAAGGGAAAGCTGAGTCCGAGGTTTATTGGACCATTCAAGGTATTGAGGCGAGTTGGGGAGGTTTCTTATGAGCTTGCCTTGCCTCCTAGTCAATCAGGAGTTCATCCGGTCTTCCATGTGTCTATGCTCCGAAAGTTCCATGCCGACAGGTTACATGTGTTAGACTACAACACGGTCAGCTAGATGAGAGTTTGGGTTATGAGGAGGAGCCAGTTTCCATCGTTGGCAGGCAGATTAGCCAGTTGAGGTCCAAGAAGATTTCTATGGCAAAGGTCTTGTGGAGGGGTCAACCAGTCGAGGAGGCGACTTGGGAGGCCGAGGAGGACCTACGGAGAAGATATCCACACTTATTCAGCACTCCAGGTATGATTCTAGACCCATTCAAGGAAGAACGTTTATTTAAGAGGTGGAGAATGTAACGACCCGACCAGTTATTTTGCTTTCTAGATACATGTTCCTCTAATTAAGATTCCCCGTATGTGCTCTTACTGTTTTATGACTTGCGAGGATAGTTGGTTTGGCTTTGGAAGGGTTGGGGTTGAAATCGGAACACTTAGTTCCTTAATGGTGGCCTAGGATGGCCAAGTTTGACTTGGGTCAAAATTTTCAGTAAATGACCTCAGAACCGAGATTTGATGGTTCCAATAGGTTCGTATGATGATTTTGGAGTTTGGTGTGTCTTCGGATCGAGTATTGGGTGACCCGGGAGCCTTTCGGCGTTCAATATTAAAATTTGGCGCATTGAAGGTTTTCAAGTTCTTTAAATTTGGTTTGGAGTAGAAATTGGTGTAATAGAGCTCCTTTTGGGATTTGGAGCCTCGGAATAGGTCCGTTTGGTGATTTATGAATTGTGCATAAAATTATGCGTCATTCCGAGTTGTCTAAGTATGTTTCGATGCGTTCGGAGTTGGTTGAAATGAGTTTGAAGCTTAGAAGTTGATTTATGAGGTATTGAGATATGATTCTTGATTCCGGTGTTGTTTTATGTGTTCCGAGGGTTCAATAGGCCCACAGTGTGTTTATGGACTTAGTGGTGCATTTGGACGGGGTTCCGGGTGGCTCGGGTGTATTTCGGAGCATGTTTGGACTTAGCGGAAAAGTGCTGATGTGCTTCGCGATTATGAAGATGGTTCCGCGATCGCAATGAAGGAAAATTGGAGGGTCAGCTGATTGCCTTACGCAATCCCGAATAAGGGAAAGCGATCGTGAAGGTTGGCCTGGCAGTGCTTCGCGAACGCGGTGGCCCAACCGCCATCGCGAAGAGGAAACAGATGAGCTGGGTAGGGAGGCCTTTGGCCTTCGCAAACCGAACTTGGGGATCGCGAACGTGGAAGTCTGGGAAATGGTTGATCACGAATGTGACCGCCTAGCGGCGAACACGAAGAAGGTTTTCGGCTGTGGAAATTTTTGCCTTCGCGATCGCGAGGAATTTTCCACGATCGCGAAGAAGGGATCACTGGGCATACTTGAATTTAATACGGGACTTAGTCTCTTTTCTCTCATTTTTCACTTGGTCTTGGACGATTTTGAGAGCATTTTGTGGGGATTTTCATCAACATCAAGAGGTAAGTGATCCCTACCAATTCTTGAGTTAAATACATGGATTTTGAGTAGATTTAACATAAAATTAAGGGAAAACTTGTGGGATTTTGTTGGAACCTAGGGTTTGGTAAAATTGAGATTTGACCACGAAATTGACTATAAATTAGGAATAAATTATATATTTGAGTTTGTGAAGTCATGGGTAACATTTATGTTTTGAAATTTTCGGAATTCGAGCACGTGGGCTCGGGGGTGATTTTTGTGGACTTCCCGAATTTGGTTGGGAAATTAGTTTAATAGCTAAATTATGAACTTTTGAACATATATTTATTAGTTTATACAGTTTTTGGTTAGTTTCAGAGTCCTTGGGGTCGTTTGAGGAGTTCTAGTGAGGTTGAAGAGTCGGATTGAGGATTTGGAATCGAGGTAAGTCTCTTGCCTAACCTTGTAAGAGAGGACTTATCCTTTTATGGGTATTAATTATTGTGTGCTACTTGTTGTGGGGAGCTATGTACGTACGAGGTGACGAGGGTCAGTATGCAGTTATATTCATGATATATCTGGGTAGACTTAGATTCACATCATGCCTATAATTGTGCTATTTGTACCTATCATGTGTATTGATTTTCTTTTTTATGACTAAGATTAATAATTTGAATAAAGATACCGCTTAGCCTCTTACTTTGAAAAAATTGGGAAATATTTGATAAACTATGGATCCATGTTGTCTCGACTCGCATGTGCTTCCGCGAGCTAGGTAAATTTCTCTACTCTTATGGGATCTGGCAGTTCGCCTCGACAGTATGGTAACACTATTCTTATGAGATTGGGTTATTTGCCTGGACAGTACCGAGTACCACTATTCCTATGAGATCGGACCGTTCGCCTCAGCGGCTTTGTGCTTAATACTTGAGACTTGATATGGTTTAGTAACAGTTGAGTTAGCGCCCTCAAGGCCGGTTATGAAATGCTTAGTGATTTGATATAGACTCATGTGTGGAATTACTGTAATTACTTTTATCTGCTTCATTGCTACTTGTTGTACATTCACCATGTCTACTTTATGTATTTCTATTACTGTTTGACCACTAGTAAGTGTCAAGTCGACCCCTCATCACTACTTCTTCGAGGTTAGACTAGATACCTACTAGGTATGCGTTATTTTCTGTACTCATGCTACACGTATGCACTGAATGTGCAGGTACTGAGACAGATAGTTTATGGCACCATTTTTTGGGGGATTTTAGCATTCATGTGTTGTTGTACTTATCATTACTGTCACTACGGTTGATGTATTTCTCACGTTGGTATTTTGTTAACAAAAGAGTATGTATGGTTGCATGAGATCTTACTTACTTCGTTCTTTTAAAAAGGAAACTTCTCTTTTAAAAGTTAGAAAGAGATAACTAAGTTGTAGGATCACTTGTGGGCTTGTTAACGGCGGCGTTAGGTGTCATCATGACCTGTCACAGGTTTTGGGTCGTGACACTTGAGGTATAGCTGCATGGCATTCGCAACCCTTGAGTCCCCTTCTTTATCCATTTTTACTGTTTATCTAGTCTCAAACAGTTGTACCTTATTTCAGACCATATGTGTTGTATTCTAGTTACTCATGTATTCGTGACTACGGATTCTGGGATAGGTTTAGATATTGTCGTAGATATTTTATTATTCGGTTTCAGACTATTTCAGTTTATTTTAATTAATGTTTTATTTTGAATTATTAAAACTGGATGAATAACTTAGCTAACGTTGGCTTGCCTAGTAAGTGAAATGTTAGGCGGCATCACGTTCTCGATTGTAGGATTCCAAGTTGTGACACTTACATGGTATGCAAAGCGATGTAAAAATATTGATGATGCATTTTAAAATTCTCCAAAAATAATCAATTGACTTCTCCATATATTCAGAAGAATATTATCATTGCATGTAAGATGTAACTAATTAAGAATATCATTAAGGATATAAATGATGATCACTTTTCAATCTTAGTTGATGAATCTCGTGGTGTATCATGTAAGGAGCCAATGACTATTATTTTGCGTTATGTTGATAGGAGGGGAAGTGTGATTGAGCGATTTATGGTTATTGTTCATGTTGGTGATACTGCTGCTTTGTCTCTAAAGAATGATATTATTAGTCTACTTACTAAACATTCTTTAAGTCCATCTTTTATACGTGGACAATGCTACGATGGAGCAAGCAATATGCAAGGTGATTTAAATGGTCTTAAGATCTTAATGCAAAAAGAAAGTAGAGGTGTTCATTCTATCCATTGTTTTGCTCATCAACTTCAATTAACTCTTATTGCGGTTTCTTGAAGATGTCATGAAGTGCAAGATATTTTATTATTGGTTTCTGATATATTGAATATAATGGGAGCTTCTTTCAAGCGTAGAGATGAACTTCGTGAATCTCAAGCAGAAGAAATAGAAGAGGTATTACGTAAAGGTGAGCTTGAAATTGGTAAGGGCGTAAATCAAGAATTGGGTCTTGCTAGAGCTGGTGATACTCGATAGGGTTCTCACTATAAATTTTAATAATTTTATTCTTATGTTTGGCCATATTATTGATGTGCTTAGTGCTATTGTTGTTAATGCACGTTTTGAAGAAAATTGTAAGGCAAAGGAATATCTTAAAGCATGTTTGAAATTTGAAATTGTCTTCATGTTACATTTAATGCGTACTATTTTAGCAATCACAAATGAGCCTAGTGCAGCCTTTCAAAAGAAGGAGCAAGATATTGTAAATGCCATGTTACTTGTTGGAGTAGCAAAGGATCAATTGCAAGAACTGAGAAAAAAAGGTTAGGATTTACTTATTAATGAGGCATCTAAATTCTGTATGAACTACGATATTTCCATACCTGAATTTGATGAGCTTTATGTTATCCCTGGAAGATCACATCGTAGAGTTGCTGAGTATATTGTTTCACATCACTACCGTGTTGAGGTATTTTATAGAACTATTGATTGGCAATTTCAAGAACTCAATAGTCGCTTTGATGAGGTGACAATCGATTTGCTTTTTGGAGTTGCTTGCTTGAACCCAGCTGACTCTTTTTCCAATTTTGATATTAAAAAGATATTGAGATTAGCTGAGTTATATCCTGATGATTTTAATAAATATTCTATGGTCGACCTTCAATTTCAGCTTCAGAATTACATTGTTGATGTCCGAGATCATGATAAAAGGTTTTCAGATCTTAGGGGACTTAGTAATCTTTCCACGAAATTAGTAGAGACAAAGAAGCATGGGACTTATCCTCTTATTTTTCAACTTGTAAAATTTGCTTTACTTTTGCCAGTTGCTACTGCTAAAGTTGAGAGAGCTTTTTCGACAATGAAGTTGATTAAGACCGATTTGCAGAGTCGAATGGATGACGAGTTTTTGAGTAGTTGTTTGGGGCCTTATATAGAAAAGGAAGTATTTAGTCTTATTCCTGATGAGGCTATTATGAATACCTTCCAAAATATGAAAACTCGCCGATGAGAGTTGTAGTAGGTACTTTTTTAAATATGAAATTGTTACTATATTTGTTTCTTTATCAATTTCTTTAAATATCAACACCGCTTAAAAAAAATCTGGCGTACGTCCCTGTTACTAAATATACTGAGGTGATTTACACAAAAGGGATATTTTGCGGCTGATATTTAAATTTTATCCCCGCTTTTGATATTTAGGCAGAATTGACCCATTTAGTTTTTATGAACTTTTAGACTAAAATATTCCTCTTCCTCCAGCGCTCTGCAAATTTTAAGGAATTTCTTATTCTTTGATCTACAGTTGAGTACAACAAATAAGATATTAGTAATAAGCAAGCACATCAGTTAAGTAATGCAAACGTTCGCAACATTTAACAGCAACATGGAAAAGTTGAAGCACAAGGTTTTCTATGTTGTTTTCTTCAATTAGTTGCTCTCTGTTCCTTTTGTTTTCCTTCATCGATCGTTTTCCTTTTCTCTTTCTACTCTTTCTACAACTTCTAATAGAACAAATTCGACAAAGCACAGGTTATCCTAAGGAGAATAACTACGGCCACGACTGCAAGGGTCCACTTGGTTTGAAATAAGGACAAGTATACTTTTACAACATCATAATAAAATATTTTCGCCTTCTACTCAAGTGTCTATATTCTTGTGAAACTTGTAATCCTTTAAGACATGTGTTGTTGAATTACCTTGAAATCCTATTGGGTTGGCATAACTTAACTTTGTGCTATATTGGATTTACTATTTTGTTAGATAACTCATAAACTCTATTTGATTGGCATAATTTTGTACTTGTTCAATTATTCATTAGTTCTATCGAGTTGTCATAATTTTGTGCTATATTCGACGTAGCTATCTTATTGGATAACTCATAAACTCTATCAAATTGGCATATCTTTGTGCTTGTTCAATTGTACATCAAACTCTACTATGTTGGCATGACTTCGCGTTATCTGCATTCGGCATATTTGTTAAATTATTCACAGAACTCTAGTCGATTGATTAATTTGTCTGTATTGTTGGACAAAAAGTTTTTCGAATTTACAATTTCAATTCGATCAAATCACCCCAAATCTTATTCAAATAATCTCAAATTTGAACCAAAACTTCCAAACACCAACAAAAACGATCCCCAATTATAAATTTAGTTAAACAACATCAAATTAACAGGACTTATTTTGTCTTTCCCCAATTATAAATTTAGTTAAACAACATCAGATTAACTGGACCTATTTTGTCTTTGTCAACACTTTTAAGGGACCAACAATGAAGTTTTGAAATTTTTAATTCAAATCAATAAATTAGTGTTTGAACAAAAAATTTAAGCACGGGTACTCAATACTCAAATAATTTTAACAATGATCAATTAGTAACTTCGAAATTCAACCACCAACAAGAAATTTCAAACTTCTGAAATTGGTCTAGGTGAAAATGAAGAACAAAAGGATGGAAAAAAGAGCTGAAGGGTATATTAGTTCAGAAATTGTTCATTAAACTTAAAAGGGCTAGTTTGTATTTTTGTCAAAAGCGGGTTTGAAAAATAAAGGATTTTTTTTGTTCCAATATAATATTTAAAATTTATTGACTAAAATTATTCTAATTTTGTATATTACCCCCCTAAACAAGGATTGCTTACAATTTATATGCAATTTATTATTAGTGCCTTAAATTATGAGATTCAATTCTACTCTTTCCTTGTTGCTCTGCTCTTCTCTTTCCCTATTTTTTGTCACCTCTCTCCATATACAATCTGTTATTAGTGCCTTAAATTATGCGATTCAATTACACCCTCTTCCTTTTTTCTCTCATCTCTTCTTTCTGATAGTGCCTTAACTGTAGACTAGAATATAGCAATTCCAATAATGTCGAACCACAATGACGTAAAATAGTTCAAGACTTAATTGAGAACCAAATCTTATAAAACTTATTTTAATAGCTTGAACTAGAAAGTAGTGTCAAACCAAAGTAATAGAGACACTGACATAGACATCACCTTAACCAGACAAGTTGAATGCCGGAATATTTAAATTTGATACATCTATAACGACATTAAACAAAAATTAAATGTTATATAACTATTTATATAGTATACAACTTATTTATAACTTATGTATAATTTTCATACATCATTTTTACCCAGTTAAAATAACTACAACATCATATAACTTAAATATAATTTTTGTACAATTTTTATACAAATATATCTTTTGTATTTATTTTGTATATGATTTATATATATTTTATATGTAATGTGTTATTCTTCTTCAAATTCCAATCAAAACTTCTCTCTTAATACAATTTTGCAGAATACATAAGCAGCCCTTTAAACTTGTCCATAATTTTCACTTTGGACAATTCAACCGAGTCTTGTACCTATTGAACATGTAAACTCAAACCAAAATTGTTCCTATTAGGCACAACTTGTTGACATGACACAATGTGAGTTACACTGCCATGAAGCGCGTGAAAGACATCATTTTTTGAATTTCTCTTTCTTCTTCCTCCGCTTCATCTCCACCACCTATGCACTGTTACTCTTCATTTATCCCCTCCCCAATGTCACCTTCATAGATTGAAGTGACTGAAAACACAATTATTAGAGAGAGGAAATAACTCTTTGGAGTATTGGAAATGGGAGACTTGAACAACATCTCACACGAATCTAAGAAAAGAGCATGCATAAATTAAACAAAAGAGGAAATGGCTCGCCGGAAAAGGGTATTCCGGCCGAAGATCCTTTCTCGATCAAATTTTCTTGTGATTCTCGCTTCTCGAGTGGTGGTTCATTCCCTATCTTTAAATGCAAAGAAAGAGATAAGATAAAGATCTCTACATGTGAAAATAAAATTGACAAATTAGTTAGTATATTAAAAATAGTATAATTGAAACATTAGGTAAAATCACAATAACTGACTGAGATTCTTCTGTTGTTGGAAACATTGTATTATGCTAAAAAGATGAAAAATTATGACAATTACATGAAGAGGCTATGCATTGTTTCATATTCATACCACTCAATATATGGTATATATTTTAGATTAATAAGGTCCACTGTTTGAGGCACAAATTTGCTAGCATTAACAAAAAGAAAAGAAAGCTTCAGTAATTCTAAGTCTATGGGAAAAAAATGGGATTTGGGGCGCCTGGGGGCGAGGGTTTCTATGTTGAAAAAATACTTCAAGAATTTATAATTCTTATGGAACTTTTCCAGAAAACTGTTTCGAAGGTGAAGAATCTCCGATTATCGGTGGTCAAAAATCTGTACAGGGACTTGGTCAAAGGAAAACAAAAAAGGATAACGAAAAAGTTTTATATTTTGTTTTTGCTGCTTGTTATAGTTGCCGCGTGTCTTTAATTTATTTGTTAGTGTCACTTCAGTAGCGTTTGAAGGCACACACTTTGTTATTTTGTTGGGATGTGTTTGAAGGGTTCAATAGACACATTGTGTATGAAGTTAAAGTGGCCAATAGGTACAGTATTCAGTTGAGGTGTCCAAGTGATAATTATTGTTAGTTAAAGGGGTTGTCTATGTATTGGACCATACAATTTTGATATATATCAATAATTTTATGTAAAAAATATATATATATATATAACTTAAATATAAACTTCATACAATGATTAATATAATATACAACTATTTTTTAATTTTCATATAATATTCAAATAAAAATATATATAACTATAACAGAACACAACTTAAATATAATTTACAAATAATTTTAATACAACTTCTTCATCTCCGAGTTTCAATCTGAAAATTCATCCAAAATTAACTCTAATCTTCACCAACCACCCTTAAAATTGATATATAAACTACAAAGATTATTCCCGATCGTTTGCAACAATACCCAATCAAAATAAATAATAATTTTAAAAAATCAAATTCAAGATCAAAGTTTTGAAGCTTTTGATGGCTTTCAATGGCTGGCGGGGCAACATACCAGGGGCGGCCCAACCTCATCGGAGGCCTAAAGCAAAATTTTAATAAGAGGCCTTAATATATATATATATATATATATAAAATTTAATGAACATCGTTTTAAAAAAAAATTAGACAAGTGAGGATGTGTAATTAAAAAAAATGAGAACTTAATTTTATAAATACAGAAAATTAAATGAATTTAACGTTAATTGCATCACAACTGAAATGGGAGAACCCAGAAAACATAAGTGACTCCTTTTTTTTAGTAAGTCCCTTTCTATATTTGGTAACAATTCAACTTTAGATTTTTCTTTTTACCATTATTGAGATGATTTCTAGCCCAAAAACTTCTATAATTTATTTAAGATTACAAGTTTCAAAAACTTTCCTTTATTTCATAAAATCCATGTCCAGTCAAACACTTTCATATAAATTGGGACGAAGAGAGTATAATTTATGTAAGAAAAATAAATAATAAGTTAGATTATTAGATATAGTTACGTGACCAACTAATGAATAGAGAAATATAATTAAGTTAAAAAGTAAAATAAGATTGACAGAAAATTATTTTAGTTATATTAATTAGAGGAAGAAATCGAATTATTAAAAATTAATATGACAATAAAGAAATAAATTTATCAATAATAAAAGATAATTATATAAATAATATACTACTATATATAAAGAATACTAGTAATTTTGGGGCCTTTAAATTTTTGGGGCCTTTCACTTGCTTTACGGTTGGGCCGCCCCTGCAACAAACAATGACTGGTTCGATGGTGATAAAGCAAATCTATTATTGAATTCTACGGGAAAAAAAGAAAAGAAAAAGGAGATGAGAAAAGAGAAGAGAATCATAGAGATACAAAGAAGAAGAAGAAGAAGAAGAAGAAGTCACGCAAGAATACTCATTTAAAACTTATTTGTATATAAATGATAAATTGTATATCAATTTGTAATTAAGTTAAAACTTAAATAGCAAAGGTAAATAAATTTTTAATATAGTACATATAGATAAAAATCTCAAAAATAAATATCAATCCCATAAAGGGACAACCGACGCAAATTCATCAAGA